ATTCCTGCAGCCTCTGCTCAATGACAGCAGAAGCATTGCCAGGCACAGAGCATCCAACTCAGCCAGCCAAGGGAGACTCAAGAGATCAAAGTACAAGCTGCCAAACTCGGACTCCTCTGCCTCCCAAGGAGTGGGGGAAGAGCTCCATAAATGTTTTGCTGTCAGTTTGGGTTCTTGTAATAAAACATATGAACCAAAAGTCTCCTCCATCCTTCCCTCAGCCCAGCCACAGAAGAAGATCTCTGCCACAAGACAGCATAGTAGGATTATTTGTAAGGAACCTGCAGTGCATCTACGCCCTCATGGCATCAGAAGCCTGCAGAGCTGCTACAGAAATCCCATGGACCACTGCTGTTTTTTCAGCATACTCGTGTTTTGTCAATACTATGCACATACACTAGTCTGTAGGCTGCAGCTACAAACTGCTGTGCAAAAGCAATGGAACACTGAAGAGCATTTCACTGTCAAAGAGCAACAGGCATCAGCTTGCAACAAAGAAGTTGGGTTTTATGAAATTGTGATAACAAAAATACTCCACTGTCTAAAATTAATCCAAAAATTAATCCAAGTTTAAACTACCTTTTGACTGACAACCAAAGCTGTTTATCTCCAGCCTGTCTGTTACCAAAACCCACAAAATTTCTCATCCCTCCACCCTCTGTCCCAATATTTGTTAAGAAAATACCATTATTTCCTGGGGGCAGGGGGGGGTAACAGATATATTAGAGATATATTACAGGTTGCTGGCCCATCATCCACCTCCTCAAGAAATCAGTTATTTTACAGTTTCTGAGAAAACATGCTTATATATGCCTGCATGTATAGTTACATCTTTCAGCACCAGTCTTCTCATACAACAGAGAAGTGGTAAAAATAATGGAGCTCCTATGGAAAAGCCAGGCTGTGCTTGTTTGGGATGCAGTGTTCCAATTCAGTTTAAGACAAAGTGATTAAAACCTACCTTAGGTTCCATTGTAAAGGAAACCCTATCCCATAGTACTATTAATCAAATCATCATCATGAATAAGCAACTGGGAAAAGAGGGAGGGGGGCATTCTTTTGGTTGTAAATAAGCTCCAGCTTCATGGTTGAAAGCATGCTGTTGCTCTTCCACTGTTGATGTTCTCCTGCAGAAAGCAGGGGTGAACTTTTATTACAATTGGACCCTTTATTCTAGTGCAGAGTAAACAACATACTGTACATTCCCCAGAAGTTAAATGGTGAAAATCCCATTACATGGTGCTAAATATCAGTATGAAGGTGGCACAGGCTTACTTAAGATATTAAAAAAAGAAAGAAAAATGAGTATTTGGGGAATAAATAAAGATGTACTATCCCACTTTTCTCTATTGCTTAGAAGTCAACTATGAATTGAGTTGGTTTGTTCAGATTAACATGAAACTACTTATAAAAGGTTTCTTGCCCTTACATAATCTTGGCAGACCTGTTTATAGCAAAAAATATCTATTCTCCCACTGTCCAAAGTTTATACAGTTCTATCTGGTCTTTCTATTACCTTGTTAGCTAGGAGACAACTTACTGTTACAAAATCTTAAT